TCATGAGGAGAGGCATCTCTGTGCAAAGTTTCATGTCTCTACGACATACGGGGCATGAGATATGCCCATTCAAAGTTTGCAATTTCAATCAGTTGCTATAGCGCCCCCCTTTGGCCAATTGATGTAATATTGCTTCATTGGCATCCTCCCATGACCCTCTACCACTGTGCCAAATTTCACATGGATTGACCAAGTCAGTGAGGAGAAAAACGTGGAACAGACACACACACAGAGTTTTTGTCATTATATAGTAAGATACAGTAAGATAGGTACAGTAGTTACATACATTTACATATTACCATATTTTTTCTTTTACGGTAACTATAATGTCACAACTCAAGAAGTTGTAAACCAGAAAAAAAACACAAAGTGAAAAAACATATGAACCAAAACCAAACAACAAAATTAGAGAAATAAGGAATCTAAATAAAATAATTAAAGAAAAAGGGAGTCAAACAGTCTGCAACACCAGGGATCAGAACGCCTGGGGCCCCGTCCCTGACTGCTGCCCGGCACACAATGCAGCTGACCCTGATTCGTCCCCCAGGTCTGGTGCAACACTACTCTTATCACTTAACGATAACTTGCCAAAACTTCCTGTAATTAGTCCAAAAGTCTGAACCATACAAAAACTGTTTTCATCTGTAATTTTGGTTCAGATCAAACTGAAAAGTCCGAAAGAAAGGGCCCTCAGCTAGAAGTGATGGACAAATAGTCAAAATAGCTAGTGTTAAATGGGATCAGTGGTTGAAACGTCCAACTTCCTCCACTCAAAATGGTCGTACTGGATGAAAAAAATATTGCTTAATATAATTAATAGTTCAAACCCCGGGGTGAGGGAGCCCTTCTGTGCAGAGTTTGCATGTTCTCCCTGTGTCAGCGTGGGTTTCCTCCAGGTGCTCCAGCTTCCTCCCACAGTCACAGTAACATGCAGGTTAAAATTAAATTGTCTAAATTGCCCGTAGGTGTGAATGTGAGTGTGAATGGTTGTCTATCTCTGTGTGTCAGCCCTGTGATAGTCTGGTGACCTGTCCAGGGTGAACCCTGCCTCTCGCCTAATGTCAGCTGGGCAAGGCTCCAGCCCCCTTGGTGACCCCCAACAGGATAAGCGGTTATGGAGAATGAATGATTAATGTGTCAAGTCCGGTTTAAAACCAGTTCAAACAAACACATTTGGAACATGTGTTGTCAGTGAAGGGGAACTTCACAAGATCCTGATGGGAATGATGCATGTCTCCCTCTGGTCAATTGTGTGATACAGTGGAAATAATTCAATTCAATTCAATTCAATTTTATTTATAAAGCCCAATATCACAAATCACAATTTGCCTCACAGGGCTTTACAGCATACGACATCCCTCTGTCCTTATGACCCTCTCAGCAGATAAGGAAAAACTCCCCAAAAAAACCCTTTAACTGGGAAAAAAAAACCGGTAGAAACCTCAGGAAGAGCAACTGAGGAGGGATCCCTCTTCCAGGACGGACAGACGTTCAATAGATGTCGTACAGAACAGATCAGCATAATAAATTAACAGTAATCCGTATGACACAATGAGACAGAGAGAGAGAGACAGAGAGAGAGATGCAGGTAATAACAGTAGCTTACAACAACATTATTGAAAGTAATAATATTATAGTTATAGTTCTGGCTACTGTGGTACAATATGTTGAAAGTATGTATTAATATCTGGCAGTATACATGTGTGACAATAATCATATGTGTATAATAACAGTAGAAGTATGACTAATGACTAATGATGGCAGCAGCAGCAGGAGGCATCTGGCAGGACCACGGCAGCAGCACAACCACACACGTCACGCTGTCCAGGCACCGCTGTGATATGAGTTAATCTGAGAGACAGTGGAGCACAAAGGCTCCGGAGAAGAAGCCGAGTTAGTGACATCCAGATAATAATGCACTGTTATAAAATATATAAACATAGGAATTACGCCCTGCTCAGAAAAACACTTCTGTGGAAGATGCTGATGATTTTGTAGATTCTTTGGAAATGTTTGGCACAAATTGATCCAAACACAAGTCCTTACCCAGAGCTCACATTATCCACTTTCTAATGAACTGTAGTTGCTGTGTGTGTGTGTGTGTGTGTGTGTGTGTGTGTTTGAACTTACACGCTGTGACCCCCCGCATGGCTCTGTCTTGGCAGTGTGCCCCATAGAGTTTCCCATGATTCTGCGGGATTCACTGGAAGTGCTTTACTTGAATGACAACCAGCTGGAGTGTGTTCCCCAGTCACTGTGTGGTCTGCACGGCCTTACCGAGCTCTACCTCTCCAAGTGAGTCCGTCCGTCTATCTGTCTGTTTGTCTGTTTGTCTGTCTGACGACCTTCACCTGCACACCTTCTGTCCCTCTCAGTCCTCCCTCTGCCACACTATGATATTAGTTTAAAGTCATAGGGGCTGTACACATGCTGCGTCTTAAACTTCCTGGAAAACACAAGGTCAGGCGCTGGGTGCTACTCTTGTGTCTTCTCTGTGTCAGCTTTCAAGAGCATGATGGCAGGTTGTGTCCGAGGTTTCTAAGCAACCTAAAGAAGCACCGAATCATAGCCTATTTACCTGAAACCCTGAGTGCAGCTGATCTTCCAGGTGCTGTTAAAAAGTGTGTAGGCCTATTGTCTGTGGGACAGGTGTAAAGCTCTGGCAGCTCTGCACTAAAATGATCAACTTCTCCATATTTACCACAGACTGATATTCAAGTAAAAGAAGTCTGTCAGCTGTGATTAGCTGTACCTCATTACATGACGTGCAGTATGCGCTGTTTAAACTCAGTTTATCTCAGGGTGCAGCCATCGTGCCCTAAGACAATAGGTGCTTGGGAACACGTGCATCGCAACAGTGTCGCTCTGGGGTTTGAGTGCACCTGCTGCATGTCTACATTGAACACAATGAATTTGAGGAGAGGTAATGTTCAGTTTGGCTGGGGAGGCCCAGGGCTTGGCTCAGGCAAACCGGTATGGAATAAAGCAGATCTCAGAAAGAAGAGAAAGCTGGTTGTGGAACAGATATGTTGCTGAGCCTGTGAGTTTATCTTCTCTATCTCCTTTAACTTTAGCTAATATTAGAGTTATGCTATGTAACGTGTGAAATAGAGTATGGTGAATGTGCTAGGAAAGGTAGTATCGGCACGGTCTCTATCCGGAGCTCGCCTAAACGGAGCCTGGGTTTGTTGAAGGCGACAGTGCTATTTGGGCTGAGAAAGCCATGTGTAAGTAAGGTAAAGGAGGTTATTGGGTTGGTGTGGGGAGCAGTGAGACCTGGCATTAGGGGAGTGTCTCTGGGACGCCAGAGGTCACTGTCTAGCCTCCTGGAGGTGTCGTGTTACCAACTAGACGAAACACTGGTGAAAGGAGGTTCCCACCTGATGACCCCAAAGACATGTTAGTTACCACTGCTCACTGGTCTGTATAGTTAAGCCTTGCCATAATAGCTTATCACAGGGCTTAGGAGGTTATTCACTGAGTGAGGATCCTTTCTCTAGAACACAAACTTCTTGTGTTTATTTGAATTGAGGGTGCAATAAACGCGGCATGTGTACGGCCCCATAATCTCCATGTGTATATTTTTTAATCTCATTGACGGATGATGTCTGAAAGGTGCAGAGCAGAGACGCTGCAATACAGGGGCACTCATGTTTCTGCCAGTGCTCAAGGAAAATACAACAGTTTCTGGGTGCTTTAAAATGTCTCCACACACTGGCCAAGATTCCATGTAGCAGACAGCCTGGGTTATATTCACCAACCAGCAGGTAGCCTTACAGATCAATAACACTGTTTCAAATCTCTTAATGGATCTAACAACCTCTTATTATCTCACTAAGCCTCCAGCACCACTTATTTCAAAGGACCTGATATACAGTTTGACCTTTTCCATCTTTAAATGTACAGTATGTTGCATTCTGCTGCTCAGAGAGCTGTGCCGTCACTGATGTCGGCGTCTCTACATTAGGATTCTGTCAGTGTTCATTGTTCAGGAGTTTTTTACCAGGATATCTGCAGAGCTGTCTTCCTTTCCAAAACAAACAGACCTGGGGTCTCATTTATAAAACAGTGTGTAGGATCCATACTAACAGTGTAGATGCGGACAAAAACAGGAAATGGTCTGTGCCAAAACATATTCAGATTTATAAAACCATACGTTTGCCTGCCTGTGTGCAGTTTCCTTTTTTAAATCCCAAATAAACTTGGAATTGTCTGCACATGGATCATCCTCATATCCCACCCTCTGTACGTCCAATGCAAAGCACCTCACGAATGTTGATGCATAGAAATGAGCCTTCTGTTCAGTTGGACCTTACGGGTGAATCACGCCAACAGCCGAATGTCACCGCAGTATTTATGTGTTTACAGCGTTTAGACTGATTACTACACACTGTGCCAAAATGATTGTGACAAATAGAACACCCTCGACCCTGAGATGTCATTTGAAGATGAAGGTGTGACAGGTCAACACTATTCATTAAGTTTGTTGAGGTGATCTTGGCCTGCATTATGATTATGACTCCAGATGAGGACATGGAGATCAATAACTGTGCAACAGTTGTCACCGGCTTTATTTCCATCTGAACTGATTTACACAAACCATATGGGCAGGTGGTCAAGATGTTCAAAGGTTGACTGGAGGAGGAAGTGTGTGGCCGCCACCACAATGTCTCTTGGTTGGGCTTGGTGATATGTATTTACAGTATCGGAAGATATTATTGAAAACTGTTGATGCTCTGTTTTGCAGTTATTTAAAGGTAGATAATGTGCACTCTCAGGGGGGCTGGGAATGTGATGGCAGCTCTGATGAAATAATGAGCAGAATCTGAGGGGAGATTTGAGTTGGCTCATAATTTTTACAACTGAAAGGTGTTTATGGAAACGAAATGGCTCACTAACACAATCACTAATAACACCGCTGGATTAAATGTTTATGGTGAAATCAATCTATAGACATCATATTGACATCATTATACATCTAATGATGGCTCTCACATTTAATTTCTACAGTTTGGCTTTAATTCACCACCTCACTATGTGCATCACCAATTTCCCCTGGGTCCTAAATGTCTGCAGGCATGGGTCAGAGTTTCCCTACAGGTGCGCACATTCTGCCATCAAGTTTATTTTTATAGATCACAACTTTTGCATTGGAAGGGTAAAAGAGCGTATGCCTCTTTCAGGCGTTGTTTTATGCGTAAGCAGTGTTTATAAATGAGACCTTAGGTGATTAAAACCCTCAATAAAGCAGTTTCAGGTTAAAAATCAATGTTACTCCAGTGCTGTTCAGTTCGTCACGGAGGGACCACTGGCCCAGCTCCTGCTATTATGTGTTCATGTTTTTTCTCTGATAACTTCAGAGCCAGAATTCAGGGGTTATTACTTGGAGCTGAATTATCCGCAGAGGTCTCTTCCTCTCCAAAACAAACAGATCAGATGATTTCAAGTGGTAAAAATGCTGAATAAAGCAGCTTCATTTTTAAAATCCATGTTTCTCTGTGGCTGTTTGGCACAGCAGGGGCTGGAGCTGCTGCTAACATTTGCCCAGGACATTTCTTAAATAACTTTAGATCCATCCGGTCGATGACTAAGATCCTTCAATTGGTTAAAACGTATAGTCAAGAAGGGCCAGGATCAGGCAGAGCCACCACTGGCTCACTGGGTAGAGTTTGCACTGCATGTACAAAGGCAATGTCTTTGCTGCAGCGGCCGCGAGTTCAATTCCAGCCCATGGCCCTTTGCTGCATGTCATCCCCTCTCTTCCCTGTCACATCTCTGACTGTCCTGTCATTAAAGGCCAAAAAGCCCAAAAACAAATCTTTGAAAAAAAGGATCAAGATCAAAAAAGCATATGTTAAAAATGTGGCCTCAAACTGGATTAAAAGTCAATTTGTGACAGTTTCTGGTGAGACAACACAAGGGGGATATGACGCCACTGACAGGCCATTAAATGACATGGAGCGTGTCCTTTGTTAAAACGACAGATTTCTCTTTGAACATTGTTGAAAACATTTGGGATAAGTACACAACCAACTAAATATATAACACTGGTCTAGTTGTATTTGTTTAATGTGAAAAAGTGAAAAAGTTACATATTTTATTTTTAATGAAACACATTGTGCAGTGAACAGATTAATCATTTATATGAGATATGTGCTGTTTTTCAGCACTTTGACAGTTTATAGTCAATCACAGATCTTGTATTTCCACATGATAGAGTTTTGCATTTGGATTGATAAAGCTGAAATCAAATTCAAAACAATAACCATGTCAACAGTTTGCTGGAGCCAAGAGACACACTCTGTTAAATAATTGGCGTTATTGTTGTTGATGTTTTTTACGCTGAAGGACTCACTGTGAGGCATTATGTCACCCTAACAAGGCAAATGTTGAAAGTCAAGTGATGAAGTCAGGAGTGACAAATCTTTTTGGGTTCAGTTCAGTCCCTGGGAACCACAGTGTGGTATGAGGTCAGTCCTCCTGCTCCAGCTGTTTGCAGCTGTTTTATATGAGCAGCAGATCGCTCTGCTCTCACAAATATTGCTGTGGCAACATCTCCATCTAAGGGCTCAGTGAAAGTCTGTGAGGTGTAAACTGTTTAATTAGGAATAATTTAACATTTAAAGGTCCAATGTGTCGGATGGAGGAGGATATATCTAACTATGTATCTTTAGTGTATAATCACCAAAAAGTTAGAATTGTTGTGTATTTGTTACCTCAGAATGAGACGTTTATATCTACACCTCGTCCACTGAGTCCACCATGTTGCACCACCGTGTTTCTACAGTAGCCCAGAACAGACAAACAAAACACTGACACCAGATAGGGCCATTTATGTTTTCGTGTTATTGAATTTTTGCATCAGCCACCACAGTCAGCAGCCCCTCCATGACAGGCAGCATCAGAAAAACACACATTTTTTTAAACATTAAACTGCTTTATTCAGTATTTTTACCGATATAAATCATCTGGCACCTTTTGAAGAGGAGGAGACCTCCTGAACATCTGGATCTTAAGTTATCTGAGAAAAAAGGTGAGCACACATTAGAAAGTGCTGGGCTTGCTGCCCGTCTCTGACAGGCCAGACAGCGTGGAAGAAACACTGATTTGTAACATGAAACTGCTTTATTCAGTGTTTTGACTGGTTTTATTCACCGGGGGTCTCATTTATAAACACTGCGTACGCAAAACGAGGCCTGAAAAAGACATACGCCACTTCCCACGCTAAAGTTGTGATCTATAAAAACAGACTTGATGGGAGAAACTCTGACCCATGGTTACGAACATTTTGGAGACGGGAACTTGGCGACACAGATGGTGAGGTGGAAGCCTGAATGTACAAACTGTCGAATATTTTTTGGCCCGCGCCATTTTTGGCTTTTGTCCTTGTGGACATTTTTAGTGTGGATGCTACACATTATTTTTTAAATGAGTTCCCTGGTCTGTTTGTTTTGGAAACAAAGAGACCTCTGCGGATATTTTAGCTTCTGGTAAAAACCTCCTGAACAATGAACACTGAAGGAATTCTACATGGAGAAGTTTAGCTATTTGTAGTCTGCAGTCCTCACCGCTAGATGCCACTAAGTCCTACACACTTCTCTTGAGTTTTTCATAATGTCATTTGGATGGTTAGGGAGCTTTGAGCTTCCTGTCTGTCATGTGTATCGTTGACTCGTGTTGTCTCACCTGCTCTGGAAACAGCAATCCTGGGATCCGGGAGCTTCCAGCAGAGCTCAGCCAACTGTCCAACCTGTGGCAGCTGGACACCGAAGACCTCAACATCACTAATGTCCCCCAGGAAGTAAGAAAAGAAGGTACTGTTCAACTGACTTTCCAAAAGCTGGAAGTGTTTTTACAGTTTTCAAGTTATAATGCTTAAATGACTGCTGAAGAAGAACCATATTAACTTCAGATTAAGTTTTAATACTTTTTTGCAAAGGCTGGATTATGTATAAAATGCCAGAGGGCTTTTAATGTGAAACAGGAAATGGCGGCATTTGGCCAACTCAATCAGTCAGTCACTCAGTCATGGACTTTTGCGTTTAAAGGCTTGGCCCCTGTGGCGGTCATGCCAAAAAAATCCATGTTAATACATCTTAAAACCAAGAACAAAACACTTAGTCAATAAGGAGAGTTTGTAAAACGTCCTATTGGTTCCTCTTAACCTGTCACATCAATTCATGGGTCGATATTTTTTTGTTTGCAGTGGTGGCACCTCTGTAATGTTTCTTGATAATTTATAATGTCATTCTAAACATCCTGAAAACTTTGTGTCGACCTCTCTGGTTTTCCAGGTCCTACATCTGTCCTGGCTTACCTCCGGGCACACCTTCGAAAAGCAGAGCCTTATAGACTGCTGAAGATGCTTGTGATTGGTCCACCGAGACAGGGGAAGACGGCCCTGCTGGAGGCTCTACAGACCGGCAAGGCGGCCCCCTTCACCCCGGCAGAGTGCAGCATCTCCACCTCCACCTGGGAGCTGGAAAAACCCAACGGAGGCAAAAACAGCGTAAGAAAAAACACAGACAGTATATTATATGCTCACACACACAGTACAGGCTTGAGATATCAGACCATAAAGACAAGAAGGAAACTGATTGTATATCAGTCTGCTTATTGGATTAGCTGTTTGATTTCCGCAAGTTTCATCACAATATTATTATTGATAAAAAGTCAGGAGGAGTGTTTCTTCTCTCAAAACTGAAATGGATAGATCAGAGCTTCTTTCTGTGTCTGCTGGGGGGTGTAACTGTATCAGCAGAAGAGCTGCTTGTGGTCTGGTCAGGACTGGCTTCTCTTCCATCAGCAACATTCAAAAAGTCCAAATATTTAAACTTGATTTTCAGATGATTGCAGTGATCTGCATCTGTCCATTTTTGGTTTTATTGTACATAATGTAACAAACTGTTGTCGACTTCAGTGACATTCGTACTCTGCTCCGTGTGTGTGTGTGGACGTGCAAAGCCCCGCCCTCAGTAAAGAACAGGGAAGAGTCTGTAAATGACGGTAAAACACAGTTATGACTCCACACTGAGCTGAAATTAAAGAAACTGTGTGTAAGATTTAGGGAGATTTAGTGGCGTCTAGCAGTGAGGATTGCAGATTGCAACCAGATAAAACTTCTCCTGGTTAGAATTCCTTCAGTGTTCATTGTTCAGGACATTTGTACCAGGAGCAGAATTATCCACATAGGTCTCCTCCTCTCCAGAACAAACAGACCAGTAAAAACCAGTAAAAACACTGAATAAACCAGTCTCATAAGTCAGTAAGTAAGTGTTCTTCTGACACTGCTCGTCAAGAAGGGGCTTCTAACTACGGTGACAGACACAAAAATGTGTATGTCCTTATCTATAGCAAGTGTTTGGTTTCTTCATTTTTGGCTATTGCAGAAACATGGCAGTGCAACATAGTGATTCATATAGACAAGGATCTGCTCTGTATGTAAATACCTCATTCTAGGGTAACGAAAATAAAACGATTCTTATTTTCAGGTGACACCAAAGAAAACATACCTATTAATTTATATTCCATCTCTGCCAATATATCCCCTAAATCCTGCACACTGGACCTTTAAGTGAGAGCACAGTGCGTGTCAGAGCAGCTCTGCACTGAGGCCTCTACAAAAGCAAATCATTGATTTGTGAATGAATGGATTTTTGGAGCTATTTATGGCATTAAAAAAAAAGCTTTTGCCCTTGGCGGGGATACAATTGTACAATTATAGGGGAAAGAGTGAACACCTCTTTTTAGAAACAGCGTCCCTGTTGCTCTGGTTAATCCACAAACAGTTTGTCAGCAGTTTTCACTTCTGGGTCAGAGAGTGGTTCCAATAGAAACTGTACACAGTGAGGTCTGTGGGTCGGTCCAGTGGAAACTTCCCACAAATGCAGGGAGGATCTTTAATACTGTTTCTAAATTCCTGACTCATCGCTTCTTTAGAGCTGACTCAGCACTCGTCTCGTTTCACACAGAAGGACTCAGTGGCGTTCAACGTGTGGGACATTGGTGGTCAGGCGAGCATGTCCACAGTGAACCAGTGTTTCTTCACTGATAAGGCCCTGTACGTGGTGATCTGGAACCTGGCTCTGGGAGAGGAGGCTGTGGCCAACCTGCAGACATGGCTGCTCAACATAGAGGTGAAATGTAGCACACACACACACACACACTCACTGAGAACCTGAGGCTGTGCTGTAGTGAGAGTGGTCAGAAAGTGAAGGGTGTGACTGTGAGAAGCAGACAAACAGATGGTATTTGTGTTTCCACTCGGAGGGAGGAGTGATCTGATTTAAAGGAAAATCATTTGGTTGTCAGACCACATGAACCAACCGCAGCCCGATGGATGTCATTTAATGGGGGTGTGATGACGTGGAAGATGTTGAAACTGTTTGTATCATTTCATTTAAATGCTTCATTGAAGCCTAATTACTAACTCCTAACATTTCATAACGCCTCCTCTTTGCTTCCTGCTGGTTTGTGTGCTCAGTTTACAGCATTAATGACGCCTGGATGTGTTTTGTAGGCCGGAGTGAAATCCCCCTGCCAAAATAATAATTATGATAATTATAATAATGATAAATGTATTCGTCAAAGTGGTGGGAATCACACTCAAGAATGTTTAAAGAGTCAACGTGGGAGTTAAACATTTTGAAAAGTAAAGACTAATACCCTTTTTCCATTGTCACTCTTGGCCGCATTGAGTAAAGCCATGCCGCGCGGATTTGTGATTCCACTGTCAGTTTAGATGCAGCGTGCCACGCCCAGCCATGCCGGAGATGGACCCTCTCAGGAGTAGGTCCAAAAGCAGGGCCACCCACCCTCAAGCGGGTAGCGGTGATGTCTCGCCAACCACAGCCAACTCCCGCCCACCCCCGTTCTTCCCGTCAAACAAGCGCATGAGTTGCGATACTCACCTCTGTCTGCAGGACACCAGAGAGAAAAGTGTTTTTAAAAGTCTCTGTGTGTTCAGCTGTCAGTACGTCTGTAGCTTCTAGCTGAATCTCTGTGGTTTGGAGTTTAGTTTCTCTCCTGCGTCCTGTTTGTACTTTAGATATCTGCTTTATTTTACTGTTTCATGTTCACTATCAGCCGTGTTAGAAGTTGTGTGAAGTTGCGGTTCTAAAACTCAACATTTCCTTGTGTTGCTGCTTCACAATAAAAGTTTTTACATAACAAAATTATGGCAGACTTTTATTGTGAAAAATCTATTGGAAATTAAATGTTATTATTACTGACTTAGTGGAACTTTGTTGCGACTTTTTTTTTCCAATAAGACAAGTTTAATAATATGGCAGGGAGGAAGAGTAAAAGCAGAAACAGCCACAGTGAGATGTTGATGAAGAGCTGCAGACAACAGGCTCTTACTGCACCTCTGCAAACAGCTCACCTGCAACAGGTAAACGTCTTTTACCTGCCCTGATCGGACTGCTGCTTTTAAATGTCATCACTCAAGACCAGCCTCATCATTTAAAGACACACCTTCACGCAGGTAGCCCTGTTGTAATGGAAATGTAAATCCCTGCTGTGCTGGGCTGACGAGCCAAACCAAACCAAACTAAGCCAGTGTATGACTGTCGACAAGGGGTATAATTCAACTGACAGTAGTGGGGTTTCCATCCAAATGTATCGAAATTTTTGAGATAAATTTTGTGAAAATGCGCAAAAGAAAATGCGAATTTATGACCGCTTCCATTCGTTATTGTTTTGCGATTTTTGGAAGTCAACAGGAAGAGCAGTAGGTGGCGCTTCTCATGAAAAATGAACAAAATAAAAACACCCCCGTAGAAGAAGAGTGCGCCGTGAGATGACGTCATAAGACAGCGTCTTATGCCCACTGTAAACAACACACTCAACTGACACTCAACAACTGACCATGGACAGATTCCTGATAAACGTCTGCTCTTTGGAGAACTCTGGTTAGCATCTTGTCAGCGCTCACAGCGTACCTAACCATCTTGAAGAAGAGACGACAAAGAAGAAGTTTAATGTTAAGAGTACTGTCGGAAATAGCTGGACGGAGACCACCGCATCGTTCTCCTTGTGTATGGGAACGTAGGCGTGTGAAGGACTTTTGGGAAGTAGTTGTCCAGCAGGATTTCACTCACAAACTCTGGCTGAAACATTTCCGTATGTCAAGGGCCACATTTGAGGATCTGTGTGCCGGTATGTCATTGTTTATTCGCAAAACCTGTTTCCATAGCAAAAGTACGCTGACAAATCCACTCCCTCCAAGTGTAAAAACTTTTTTGCGAATTTTCAGCCTTTTTTTGAATTTCTGGCGTTTCCATCTAAGTTTTTTTTTTCCCCGAAATTTTTGAAAATGTGAATAAAAATAGGTGGATGGAAATCCCACTAGTGAAGTGACAGAGTCACGCAGCACTCGACAAGGGTTGGGCGATACATCGATTATACTTGATATATTGCAGCTTGTTCTATGTAGGATTTTTTTAAACAGCTTTATTGTGAACAGAGAGTATAAAGAAGGGCTGAGTGTTTTCTGAATCGATTCAGTATCGATTCACAAGGTCAGATTTGATTTGGTGTCCAATTACCATTTGGATTCAATATCGATTTGATACTATGGATTATATTTTAGTTTCAGCACCAATATTTGCTGGAATGTGAAAGAGATTCTCAGAGAACTAATTCTGTGAATTTTACAAGGAATTGTTTAAAAAATGAAATAAATTCAGAACAGGATTAAAACTGAATATTTTATAACCAAATGTCTCTAGAGCAGCAACAGTAATATTAAAACATCAAAGTCAAAATATAAACTCAATACAAACTTATAATCAATATAAACTTATGTGACAGCACCAGATTTTCCCAGATTAGGGAGGCTGGAGGCACCAGATTTTCCCAGATTAGGGAGGCTGGAGGCACCAGATTTTCCCCCAAAAGGGAGGCTGGCTTGGTGGTTGGCGTTTGATGACGTGATGCCGACGGGCCTCCAGGAAGTGCGTCAAACCAGTTTTCATAGTGACCAAACAGTGTGATTACATCCGTCATGTGATGCCATGTGGCCCAAAAAGGGTTTCCCATTGACTTGTGTGGCGAAAGAGACATCTGCAAATCAGTGGATACATTTCTTTGAGAGTCACAACCTCTGTGAAATGACTCGTTTCACCGTCAGAATTTGATCCATTCAGTTTGATAACATTTGGAAAGTCTGGAGAGCTGCTCTATTGATTAATTTTATCCCCCTTTGAGTTAGTGAAGCACTAAATTGGAAGTAGCTGGCGGTAGTCTGGTGCGTGTGTGGGCCACACAGTGCTGAAGCAGTGCCGATTATCTGGGTAATTTTTATACGCAGCTGTTGAACTTTATTGGCTTCATGTGCCACTGAGCAACTGTCACAGGAATGAACGGGGCCCGCCTCCAACACTGTATCCAGGTGCCTTTATACATCCATAGATGATAGTGTGGTGTATGCTCAGAGAGGAACAGCGAATCAGATGCAAGAATTTAGCCCTCATCTGAAAACTCTATACATTTACTCACTGATATGTTATTCTGCAAAAGCCTGGATGATTTTTTTCATTTTAGATGTAAGTTCTTTTTCTAAATCAGTAAATAAAATGAAAACCAAAAAAATAAACTGCTGCCGGAAAAAAATGTAATGAAGAGACAAGTGCAGACAAATAAGAGGCATGGAAAGAGATTGTAAACAAAGTCAATTCCGGCATTCTTCCAGAGGAATGTGAAAATAATTGCATAATGTCCTGTCAAAAGTGTGTTTGGAAATGAGGAGACATATTGCCTCGGGCTGCAGAGGATGTGTGCTTTCCTCTGCCTCTGTATCACACCATATACACACACAAGTACACACATACACTCTACATGTGGACATGATACTAGTACTTCATCCCTTCCCCTCACCCAAAAACCAATTTCTCTCCCTTCTCCCTTCTAATCTGCCACTTCCCCTTCTCCTGTTTACACACTCTCTCTTAAGTTTACCCAGCATCTAAAGAAACATAGCAACACACATACAAAAAGGAAAAGAGTATGAAATGAGAGTGTATTAACATGCTATTTTCATGTGTGTGTCAAACAACTGTCTCCAAGAGCAAGAATCATTTTTCAACTGTGTGTTGTTGCTGCAGGCGCGAGCACCAAACTCTGCCGTGGTGGTCGTGGGAACACACTTGGATCTCATCGACACCAAGTTTCGCACTGAGAGACTGGCCACGCTGAGAGCTTACATTCTGGCTCTGTGCCGATCGCCGTCGGGGGCTCGAGCCAGCGGCTATCCTGACATCACCTGGAAGCACCTGCAGTAAGCACACATTTTTACATTCATTTCTTTTGATAAGAAGCAGCTGCACTGTTTGGCTGAGCTTCGTGACAGCTGTCACTCGTATCAGCCTCACAGAACATCTTGCCATCTGTCTGTTAGTCTGTGGAGTGTATTCAGTTGTGTGTGTGTGTGTGTGTGTGTGTGTGTGTGTGTGTGTGTGTGTCTTGGTGCTCAGGGAAGTGTCCTGTAAGACCCTGGAGGGTTTGGATGGGTTGAAGAAGCTGATCTACCAGGTGGCTCTCTCCATGAAAGACAGCAGCAGCTCAGCCTGTGGCAGTAAGCTGCTGGGCAGACTGGTGAGTGATGCGGTGTGTCTGCTGATGCTCTGCACTGTGAGTCTGTGTAGAGGAACCTCACAGTTTGGTCCAACAGAGAGAAACTGTTTGCTTATTAAATACATACAGCACATCACTGACTATGTTTACATACATCTGCAAATATTCTGTTTTCTGAACTTGCTCCAAAAAAGACAGTATTCCTTCAAAGTAGGGCTGCCTAGTCCAAGTCAACCACTAGTCCTCATCAGGGTCCATCAGTGGACTAGTCTCCTGCATGTTTCTGATATGAATGTAATGATTAAATGATATTTTTTGGTGGTTTGAGTTGAAGGTGTGAGAAAGAATAGTATCAGTAACATTGTTAACACTGTGCTACATTACAGAGAAATACAAAACCGTACTAATGAACCTTCATTAATATAGGCCTATATTTTATCTCCAAGTGCACGTCACACACTGAGCGAGCCGCCTGTTAATGACGCTGTGGGCTAATGGGCATGTAGCTACTACCATGTTTCAGATGATACGTCATGTTTGTAGTCGACCAATGAAGATGAGTTTACATATCACCTTGGGTTCGTCCTTCACCTTCTCAAAATGATCCCACACTTTGGATTTCCTGCCCGACATGTTATTAACTAGCCTGTGGAATAACTGCAGGTACCAGCCCTTGAAATTAACCTGACTCCTGTCTGACTGCTGAGCGTGGACACTTCCTGTGTCTGTCCTTTCAAATTAAAGTCCCACATAGTCCAGTCATATAGGTTTGGATTTATTTTGACGAGGCGCAGCTCCTGATAGAGATTCATTTTTTTTTATTTGTTCGTTTTTTTTCTTTGTGTAAGTGAACATTGAAATCTTGCTGACTAATGTTTGGGCCAGCCCTACTAGTAAGCCGTTTACATGGCTAATGAAAATTAATGTTCCACTAAATCCTTCTATTACATGTAGCTGTGCATACTCTGATTAACATGCCCTAACATGATGTTTTTTACGCCAAGATATAGGCAGTTGAAACGACTGGAGCTGCTTGTGCCATTTTGCTTCTTTGCATCAAAATAGTATTTTCAGTATTTTCCGACTTGTTTTGGACCGTGCATATACAGCCTCCCTCTTTCAGTCCTTCTTGAAAAGTTCAGCATTGCAATATTTGCCCGTATCCAAAAACCTCTTGAAATCCAGGTCTTTCATTATATTTAAAAGGAGGTGTGTATAAAGGCTTAATTCAGGATATCCAGATGGAATACGGTGTCTACAGGACTCAAATTCAGAATATTGTTATATTGAAAATGTTAGTAGAATATTAGTGTACATGTTAACGTAGTCACGGGCTATGTTTACATGCACAAAATATTCTGTTTTTGCCCTTATTCTGAAAAGAAAATGTTCCTACTAACCTGTTTATATGGCTAATGAAAATTAATATTATACAAACACTCCTGTTTCCATGCAGCCATGCATACTTCGATTACATGCCCTAACATGTCCTTTACCACATCAAAATATGTAAAAGCAGGGGGCTGTATACACGTCCAAAGAATGCTCTTAAAACCTGAATAATATCAGGTAATAATAATATCCCTCATGTCTTGATCGAAAAATTTAAATGGATTAAACGACCCACATCAAACTCAGAATATAGTCATTTGGAATAAGAGTGACATATTAGTGTGCATGTAACTGTTGTATCACTCACAGTTTTCAGTAACAGAGCTTAAAAACAAAGCTTTCATGATATGATCTAAAATGTTATCAAATAGTTTAATAAGCTTATAAGATGTATAAGAAATGTCTCATCCATCAGAGCGCGTTTTGTACCTTGCAGAGTGCAAGGTGCATGGTGCTGCCTTTTTTTGATGACGCCTGCCCTGATCAGATAGAGCATGTTTTGCAGCTTGCTGTGCCTTTTTTTAATGTTGCTAGGCAACAACTGAATCACCTTTTCTTTTTTTTAGTTTCACCACAGTTTTGAAGTTAACTCACAGATCTGTATTTTAAAATCTGCATAAAAATTGACAGGCATGTGCTCTGGCTCTGATTGAGGGTGAGAGGCTGTTCCCAAATAGTACGTGGGACACAAGGAAACAGATCCATGTGGGTACATGAGACCTTCAGAGAGAGGACAAATCACAGGGAGTAGCACCAGCTGGTCCAAGAGCTTTGCCTGGATGATGGTCGGTTCAAGGGTTGTTTTAGGATGAGTCAGGGACAGTTTGGCAATCTGTTGTTGATCATTGGGTCTAATTACTGTTGGCAAAATGTTAGAAAGTAGTTGACGTGATCATTCGTTCAGATATGTCTCACAGTTTGCCTTTGGAAAGTGAGCTAATGATAATTTCACACCAACCACATACGCAACTACCGTTAAACTTCAGTTAACTTGGCAACTTTTACATACGTTCTACAGTTATTTCCTGGATCTGTTTGGTCAAAAATGATGTTTTTCTAAATCACAAACAGATTTGTACCCTTGTCTCCTCCTCCAGATCCCCAGGAGCTACCTGACACTTCAGGAAGCAGTGATAGCAGAGAATCAGAGGCGAGATGCTGAGGGAGAGGTCCAATACCTAACTGATGTCCAGTTGGACAGTGTCATCGAACAGAACCCAGGAAGTGACATCAGAGACTACGAGGACCTGCAGACTGGTACTGTGACTTGTTCAACAAACTAGTGGAGTGTGAAAATTACTTGTTTGACTTGTCAAACTGTTCAAACTACCTTGAATGATTTCCTTAATTAAAGCCAAAGTGTATTTCTAGTATTTGTTTGAGGCTGACTGATCGGTGAGGTGATTCTTTTACGTATGTAGGATTACTTAATAGGATTATGTCCATGACTACACCAGAACACCAGGCTTATGGCTCCTCTCTTTTCTGCACTACATCCAGCCATCAGCTTCCTGATAGAGACGGGGACCCTGCTGCACTTCCCCGACACCAGCCATGGCCTGTGCACCCTCTATTTCCTGTGTCCTGTGTGGCTGTCAGAGTGCCTGGAGAGGATCATGCATCTCAAGTCCTCTCGCTCTGTAGCCAGAAACGGAGTGATCCGAGCTGAAGACCTCAGGGTGAGACTCTCAGACAACTGGAGAAATGGAAGAGAGCGTCTGAAAAAAGAATTTGGCTTTGTGAGTTGTTTTGAGTGTTAATGATGATACTGACTTCCTGTGGTGATGTCTGTGATGTCTGATGTGCAGATGCTGTTGGTTGGAACAGGGTTCACCCAGCAGACAGAGGAACAGTACTTCCAGTTTCTAGCCAAGTTCGAGATCGCTCTTCCCGTGGCAAACAACAGGTAACATGTCGTCTATATACTTATTAATACTCAGTTGATACAAATGGCACTACTCTCCCAGCACAACGCCATGATCGCAGAGTTCCCATCCTAAGATTCCTTTTCTTTGCTGCATAGCTTGCGCCAGTATTTTTGCTCCCCACAATTTATTACATCAAAATATGCAGCGCTGGTAATGATGCAGAACTCCTGCACATCCATCTAGCAGCTAACGACCAGAGTCACCATAGCAAACAGCCTAAACACCAGCAATGACCTAGCAACACTCAGGCAACCACTCTAATAGTGTTTATCCACATACGTGTGCTGGCTTGACTCGACTCGATTGGACTTGGTGCATCAGCCCAGTGCAGCAGGGATTTGCATCTCAATTACAGCAGGGTTACCCACTTTGAGGTGTTTAAAAAGTGTTAAAAGCAGCAGGCTGATCGGGGGCTAAAACCCTCCGTTATTTTGCCTCAAGTGTTTGTTTTTTTCATCACACAAAGTTGGCCCAACTCCTCAAAAGGTCCATCTCGCACATGGCTTGGCAAAAAATTGGTGCATTTCAACTCAGAATGGAAACACAAGTTGACGTGGCATGGTTTGACTTGGTGCGGCCACAAGTGCCGATGGAAGAGCCCTATAAATTACATCAACTGCCGAGTAACCACCTCATCATGATATAAACACCTACTAAAACCCCAGCAACTGCCCGCAAGCAATAGCAAAAGCAACCACACAGCACCCGACGTAAAATGCATTACTAACGTCACTCTCCGCCAAGCAACAACCGAAAACACTCTGGCTGCTACCTTGAAGACAACTATCACTCTACCAGTGGAAGCAGTTGTGTCTTGTCTCCTGTGTGATGAATTAGGCACAAACTGTCATGTTTTGGCTCAAACCAGTTGTTTCTTTTGGAAGTGACAGACAAGAGATGAAAGCATGTGAACCCTGGAAGCAATTCAGAGGGTTCTGAGGCTGGCAAAGGAGCTCCGCTAGAGCTGCCGGGTTTAAATTCAGATGTAGCGCCGATCTTCTTTTGAAATTGGGTCTATTTTCTTTAGTATATTATTTTAGTAATGGTCTAGTATCACCAGTACACGATGCAGAGACAGAAGATCTATGTGTGATCATAAAATAGCAGCGGAGCAGAATGGCAGTTTTGTCTACTATCCACCCCTGCAGCTTGTTCAGAAATTAAATGTTTATTATTACAGAAAAGGTAAAGTACTGAACAAAGGTACCCTTGGGCATTGATACTAAATTCCAGGTACTGGAGCTGGTAATCGCTAATGTGAAGCAAGTCCTGGCACTAGTGCCGAGCAGCACACATCCCTGAAGTTTCTTTATTCATTTTCTACTTTTAAACGTGTTCTTTATTTTTCCTTTCCTCTTGGTGTAGCTATCTGCTGCCCCACCTTCTCCCCCCCAAGCCGGCCATGGACATCCACTGCTTCCGTCAGCAGACCAACAACACCCTGCAGCGCCTTGTCAAGATGAGCTTTGTTCCTGCTGGATTTTGGGAGCGTTTCATTGCCAGGATGCTCATCAGCCTCACAGAGATGGACCTGCAGGTACTGAAACCAGCAGATTCTCATCCTTCACTTATTGTACTTACACACTTCAAGCATTTTTACATTCATGGCTCTGAATGTTGTGTTTGTGCAGTCGTTTGAGCACAAAAGAAACACCAGGACGCAGCGCAACAGGAGCTCTGTGATCTACAGCTTCGCTGGAACCCAGCAGAGGAACCGCTGCAGCACCTTCAGAGTCCGACGCAGCCAGACGATATACTGGAAGGAGGGGCTGCTGGTCACTTTCGATGGAGGTTACCTCAGGTCAGAGATGGGGCTACAATGATGTGGGCAGTAATTAAATGAGACAGTGAGGGAGTGTAGAGTGTGAGAAAGTTAAGAGTGTGTAGCTTTACTAGTGTCAGAGCTTTAGAGAGGAGCCACTTCTGAATCAGGACAAGCAGACTTAAATCAAAAACCAGTGAAGGCAAATAACAGGCTGGAGCTAGTGTTCAGTGAACGTCAGGGGCATACAGGTTCACAGGAAGTGGTTGGGTTCCTCGGGTTTTTTACCAGCTTTCAACCCTTGGCGCTCAAAAAAAAAAAGACAAATGTGAAGCACTCAGCACAGAATAGATGCTCAGCACCTCATCATGCGTCATGAATATGTGGTGCTCCCATACCCTGGCTTCAGAAAAGAATGATTTAGAAAATCCAAAGTAAACTAAAAAGGAAGACTAAAAGAATGTTGAAGTGCCTCAGAGGTTCCTGCTGTTCCTTGTGCTCCACTTAAGCTTCCATGAACACAGTAAATTATGAGATGGTGACGAGCGTTTGTGTCTCTGCAGCGTGGAGTCGTCAGATGTGAACTGGAAGAGGAAGAAGAGTGGAGGCATAAAGATCATCTGCCAGTCAGAGATGAGAGATTTCTCAGCCATGGCTTTCATCACAGACAACGTCAACTCTCTGATTGAGCAATGGTTCCCTGGTCAGTGCAGCTCTCCTTGTTTATGTGGACACAACTTCTAACTGCTAACAGCTGCTGAGTGACGACTTTCAGCTCCCAATACTTGATCAGATTCTTAGTCTTGGTACTTTTGTCTTTTAGCAGATGTTTCCTACTTTAATCCGTAGCTTTGCTGATATCACTCTGTATTTTATTTAGATATTTAAAGCTACAGTTCACTCCAAAAATCAAAAATCTAGATATTTTGGTGTGAGTTGCTGAGTGTTGGAGATATCGGCTGTAGAGATGTCTGCTAAGTGTATCACCACACAGAAGGAGGCCTGCATCCACTGCTAGCTCACCTTGCACCATTAAGCAAGCTTACGTTATAGCTCAGTCAAGGAGGATGCCGTTAATGTTGACGTCTCGTGCTGTCACGAGCACAAACCTCTCGTCCATGAGCAGGTGCACAGTGATACGGTTGGCGGGTGTAGTTCAGTAGAAAGAAAATAGTTCCTACATGAAACTGCTCACAACAAAGTTCTGTGGATTAATTTTAGGAGCCGGGTCATGATTTCTGTAAAGAGACATTGCTGTTGAGTTTTTTAAATGTATAGTTTTGAGCATCACAAGCCGAGTGGCATCTAGAGAAGGCAGACATCTCTATGACTGATAGCTCCAACACTCTGCAACTCAAACCAAAACAAGCTACAGTAGCCTAATCTCATAAAGATCTCTCAGGTTGTATGGGCTGAGGTTTTTCATGCTGAACACTACGTTCAGAACCAGTGGCCCCTCTCTATTCACAACTTGATCTATTAGGGGACAGAAGTGGAAGAAGACAGCAGCAGTGTGAGCAGCAGGGCAGTATAAAGCTGCTGTGGATAACTGATACCGTAGGAATCACCCATGACTTTTTTTTTTTTTAGTTCAGGGTTTGAGTGTTTGGCCAACATTCCTGCTGTAATGATCTGATTAGTGATGGTCAAAAATGAACAAATGAATCTTTTTGAAAGTCTCTCTTAAGTGTCCTCCTCCCACTCACACTGCCTGTGAGTGAATGAGATTTGATTGAATCAGACTCCGGTTCAGACAGCCGAGCAGCTGCACTTATTGAACGAGACTGAGTGAAGCGTTCTCTCGAGGTGGGATGTATACTGCATGCCCAGGGTGAACGTCAGATTGATGCAGTCAGATCATATTTCTGTTGGGCTTACATGGCCTAGATACATACAAGCATGGGGAAAAGCTGGATGTTTTACTGTACACCATAAAACATTATTTTGTATCCATTCTCACCCTGATGTTTGGAATACCTGACGAAAAAAAGTTATATTCCATAAATAGCATTAGAGCAGTCAGCGGCCTGCTAGATGTCATGTTGTGTCTGAAAAACAAATTGACTGGAGTCGGAGGAAGACACAAACAAATCGAGATGGTAATTCACTGCTTTTCTCGTATTACCTGCGAGCTGCAGACACTGAAACAACCCTGGGCTGTAGGTAGAGGAGCCAGAAGCCACAGATGTAGAGGAGGATGGTGCTCCTGAGGAGCTGCTGCATTAATGGATGACGCAGTAAAGTGGTTGTTGTACTGGTTTGTGAGGTGATTGTGTAAAATCTACACAGTAGGATGTCTGTAAACGAACGAGGACCGTTTAAATCAGACTCAGGTCTAGACCTCCACCAGCCAAGGCCAATGGTGCATTCATGTGCTCCTCAAACAGTCGTTCTTCCAAGTTCAGTGTGTTGATGAAATGAACACTGACGCTACAAAGACGAAATGCTGTATTTTATTACTCAGAGCATTTAAACAACAAATTGATAACAAAGACCAAAGGACACAGATCTGGTGAGCCATGAAATATGATGGGGAACTCATTTTTTCAGATTTTTCTGACATCACAAGAATGCAGCACAAGGCTGAGGAGGTTTCTACAACGTCTGCAGTGCTACTTGCCCTCAGAGAAGCTTACATGGCCTAAATGGGATGCAGAAATGCATTAAAATGAATATTAGCTTTACTGATGTAAACTTATACATGACTGATACTGCACTGAGGAGAAGTTTCCTGGAGCGGTGACACCATATTTTGTGAAATGTCTCGAAACTTAAAAGGTTTGAAACATCCGATACATTTACGTGTCAACATGAAGGCACTGGAACTGTAAGAGGAATCTGACCGCACATCACTATTTCTGATGCCAGCCTAAAGGCAGTGGTCGTGAAATAACTTTACAGTTTACTTTTGCAATTGTTTGTTTACAATATTTTGCAGCTGCTGCACATTTTCTCCGAGTACTTATTACGTTCTTGCTGACAGACTCATCAAAGAGGCTTTGCACTGAAGGCAGTCGTGCATGATGTGTCGTTCTATACTGTGCACAACAATGCCAATCAGACACCGAAGCATATGTGGAGGTCAAGAAGTTAGTGCTGATTGTACCCACTATGTTTATATCCCAATCACAAACTTCACTGCCCACTGATGGGCGAGTCAGACCCTGCTGCAGCGCACAAACTGCAGTGTAGGAACATATATCTGGATGTTCACGTACTAGACTTTGCCCCCATAAATGTTTATTGTACTACTACCAAGGTGACATTTCGTGCTTCATGCTCTTCATCAGTCTGATCAACCATCTGATGAAGAGCGTGACGATTGAAACCTCACCTTGGTGGTAAATCAGTTAAATATTTATGGGAGCATAGCCTAGTGTGCATGATCTCCTGCCCATTGCCCAGTGGATGGCTGGATGTGATGTGATACATATATTTAGACATTGGTACATAATATGTGGCACTGCCAGCATTCCAGGAGTGAAAATGACTTTTAAATAAACAGAGGATATTTAACAGATGTATTTGAAACAGTTACTCACATTATAGAAGACCAATGAACAGATGATCATGTCTCATGTCTCTCTGTCCTCTCTTGTAGCCTTGACAGCCAGTGAGAGTGATGGGAGTCTCCTCATAGAGCAGTACGCACCCTGTCCCCTCTGCTCCTCACTGGGCCAACAGAAGCAGTCCGGCCACGTCGAACAGACAGAAGCACGTGGAGCAGATGACCGGGGAGGAAGAGAAGGGGTTCATTACTTTAACATGGAGGACTGTGTGCTGGCTGCAGTGGAGAAGGAGTACATCATCTGTCCTCTACACCCTGAGCAGCCGGTCAGCCTCCAGGAGCTGGTCCCAGAACTCTTCATGACTGACTTCCCTGCACGGTAACCTCTCTCACCATTTCATGCACCATTTCATTTTACACACTGATACCGGCCAGGCTCCAGTTATTATAACAGACACGTTTCAGACACACTCATCTGACAGAACAGCGTCTGTTTTTTCATCGATACAGCTGTACACACAGGCCGAGTATCAGTTCATACTTTATAAACATGACTGTGACCCAGAGCATCTCTCTAGGCTTCAGGACTTCAATAGTCAATAGTCAAATCTCCTCTGAGTGTGCAGCAGTACTGTGGCTCCAGTTTGAGACTTTTATTTCACTGCTGTTGTAGCCCTGCTCAGAGCTCGGGAAGCCGCCAGCACCTTGTGAGAGCTTTCTTGCATGCGGATATCAAAATACCGAACACATATTTGTCAGAACACTTTGCCATATAATCAGCGCGTCCTAAAAATAATGTAGAAAATTGCAGAGCAGATCAGTGTGAAGCATCATTTTTAGTGCTTTATGAAATTCCGTCCAGAAAGGCCTCATCACTGGACACTCCCGGAATACATGCCAGAGATTGGCTTCCTAAAACCCACACTGTCTCCAACATTCAGCGTCCACTCCAGCAAAATGTGCTTTCTGCTTTGATGTGATTAAAAAAAACAGAATAAAACATTTCCACCTGAACTCACGCCACACAGCCGAGTTACTGCATTTCCACTGAAATGTGCACACATCCAGCCAGTCCTCATTTGATATTGAAAAGCTTCCTTCTCTCTCCCATTTTTAAAATATATTCAGTAGTGCGGGGAGTGAAGAGATAGCATCCTTTTTTAAAACATTCATGTAGTCATCGATAAATATTCTCAGTATTGGATCATCAAAGTCTGTTTTATTTCTAATGTTATGTTCAAAGTGACTTCGTAACGGAGTTTTTAAAATGATACTCTTTGCTTAGTTTTTTGAAGTCTTTAGATCTAATGTTAATCTTTTTGGAATCCAGGACTGTTGGACTTTGTCTTGAAAAATAATGTTGGATACACACTGATTGCCTTTTGATTATTCTGACATGAGAAAAACAATAGTATTGTATAAGTATAAAGAATTGTTATTATCACTGTTGGGTGCAAATAGTTACTATGATCACGTTACATTTGTCAGTAACCCATTAATGTGAAGTAGGGCTGCAACGATTAGTTCACTAATCGATGACTAATCAACTATTAAAATAATCAGTAGCTGTGTTTCCATCCAAAAGTGATTTGAATCATTGGGAAATGTGCATTAAAAGAAATACGAATCATGTGTGTTTCCATTAAATGTACGGACTTTGGTGAAAACTACGAACTCGCGCAAGTTTTCCGCAGAACCGGAAACAAAACAAGTCTCGCATTCTTCTTCTTCTACATTTTCTGGTGGTTGGCAACCAGCTTGTAAATGCATTACCGCCTTCCCGACCCGGAGTGTGGATATTACCATGGAGAGAGGTGCACTACGTCAGACTTAATTCGAACATAACTGTTTTCATCCCCCGTTTTGCGAATCAACATTTTTTTGAATCAACCAAAACCCGGCTAAAGCGAGCGAATCAGGGGATTTTAATTCGAATTTTGGTGTTTCCATCATAATTATTTTCCGATGCAATACTTCTAGATGCTCATCTTAACAGGCTGATGGAAACATGGCTAGTGACTATTTTAGTAGTCGACTAATCGGTTTGAGTCATTTTTCATAGAAAAGTACTACAAAAGTGCCCCAAAATACTCTTATTGCAGCTTCTTACGTTCAGATATTGGCAGCTTTACACACTCTCCCATGATGGTGAACTAAAACCCTTTAGCATGAGTACGAAACAAGACATTAGGTGACATAATTTTGGGGATTGGGAGAGACAGACTGACATTTTTCAATGTCGACTAATCGAAGAAATAATCAACAGATTAGTCGACAATGAAAATAATCGTTAGTTGCAGCCCTAATGTAAAGTGCTACTGTTCTAAATCCTGTAATCACATTGCCCTAACTAATCAAACAATTGCGCCATTAAGTGTGTTACATAGGTTCTCGGTTATTTGCATACCGGACAGATAGAAAAAAATTCATCAAATCAGCGACACCATCCACCAGTGCACCAGTAAAGAGGCTCTTTAGTCTTGGCAGTCTGTGCTGACTCTGAGGAGGAGCGGTTTGTTTAAAGGCCAAACACACTTGCTGCGAATGTCTCGTGTCAGAAAATACGCCCCTATTATTTTCAGGGTACAATCCCACACTGGCAGCAGCTAGACACATGTCGGCGCTCCTGAACGCCCCTCAACACTTTATGCCACTCTCCTACTTCCGGCCTCACCATCCCTGGACATGAATGCATTTCCCCCCTCTTGCTCTCTGCTTGTACATACTAGCTTCCATAGCAGCTCTTTCTCTGCTCCTGTGGCAGCTCGACTCCTCTCCTCACCACTGATGCATAATGAGAACTCTGTAGCTGTTGCTGTGTCTTGTGTGTCACGAAGAATGGATGAGGAGAGAGTTGTAGAGGTTAAGAAATATCCTGAGCTAAACGACCCCCAGTCCCGTCATTATAAAGACAATGGCCAAAAAGATATTGGCTGGTGAGTCACAGCTCTGGAGATCGGCTCTTCAGGTGGGAAATCAACTTTAATGAGGGGCTCTCCACACATGATTTTAAGCTGATGCACAGGAGGATGAAGTACAGATCTTTCAGTAAAGGTTGTAATAACTTTGTGTGGTTGTCTATTGACGAGCTGCAGCGAGATGCATCCAGTGTGTGCAAGGGGCAGCACTTGATGTGCGCGGTGCTGGTGTTTTCATCTTAACAATGATTTGAGGATCTTTACATCAAGAGGTATAACCACTGCTTTAGTGATGAATACATGAAATAAGATGGACTAGTCAGCTATAAATCTGTGGTTTGGTGAGTGAGCAACTGGAGTGAGCGTTTGTTTTGTTAAATGTAGTTCAGATGACTTTTAAACGTGTTGATCGATATAATTTCAATTTGAGGCAGTCGTAGCCTACAGCAGTGCTGTCTTGATTCTCCTGATCCTTGTTTTGTGTAAGGTTTAACGTTATTTTATTGTTTACTTGCAATTACGTGGCAGTGCATCTCAGTAACGTAACAAGTAGTGTGAGGAGCTGCTTTGAGTAAGACCCCAAAACTGATTATTATATAAAATATGTCTTGAATTAGATATATCTTCCACAGACTCCCTGCAGCACTCGCTCAGACCATCAGGGATTTATTTTAGAAAGAGGAGGAAATGTGTTTTAGTATTTTCCTTTGATGGCAGATGTGACGCTCATGTCTCCAGTCTGTGGAGGATTTTCACAGCTACTCACTGGACTTCAGAGTGAGGCAGTCCTTCCACTGGAGCTGGGTGATTCACACAGCACATGCCAAGTAATTACCACACACACACACACACACACACACACACACACACACACACACACAGAGTGACAGTCAGCTGCTCTCCAGGGCTTTGGCTCTATAATGAGTTCCAGCTGATTTGTCGCCAGTGACAGCGAGTGTTGATGTATCATCAGGGCTCAAGGGTAACCGCCACTCTGTCAACTATTAGAATAAATATTCATATACGTCTCTGTGTCCTACACACTGTGTTTATGTGTGTGTATGTGTGTGTGTGTGTGTGTGTGTCTGTGTGGGCAGAGAGTTGCGCAAGGATATCTCTATAAAACAGCACAGACCCATGGAAATGTTTGCTGCAACATTTAAACAGCCACTCCAAATATTAGTACAATTGTGCTCGAGCTCTTAAAGAATGGAGAATGGATGTTGGTATAAACATGAATGCCACCAGCTAACATCATCAGCTGTAACAGCTGGATGCAGGCTTAAGTGTGCACACATTAGGGTGGGGCAAGGCTTTGGCCAGTATTGGCCTTTTATTAAAATGTTACAGCCGACAGTCTGGGTTGTCCATCTCCCATATGGAGCTCAAAACTGGGGGTGAGCATGTGACACTAAGATATGATTAGGCTTGGGCATTATCTGTTTGGCATACCTTTATACCTTCCTGACATTTCACCAGGGTATACAGTATATGAAGATATTTGTGTAATAATGTAAAGGTATGTTTTGTTAGCTCCCTGAGCTTAAATGTCAAAAAGGAAAAAAATCTGGACACCTGCTCTCCTTCTGAAACAGGAAAACAGAGTCATACACTTCTAAATTTAAGTTTCTGTCTTATCAAACTGAGACTCAAATGCCTTTAAATTCATGGTAAAACACACTTCATTTAAACTCAATAGAAACCAAATAAAATTCACCAAAACCATCTTGCTTAGTCTTTCTAATGTTCCAACAATCACCAGCTCTGGTTTGGTCAAAATAAACCCTGAATCCACAAAGTTAGATGTGACAATATGCTGTTTTGCTCGCTGCCTCTCTTTGCCGTTGCTGGCCAGCTTTGTACCAATCCTGTAACGTTATCCCCACCTCTCACAGTCGGCATCTTCCTGAGCTTAGCTGTCTGTGCCACCGGTAGAGACTTCTGACCTCTGGTGGCGTGTGCTGTGTACTACATCGCCACAATACAGCATCTCCATATCAGTTTAATAGAAAGTGACGCATCTTTGTTAAATTATACCCTCAGGATTTCTAAGTACCCTGATATACTGTAATACCTTGATACCACCGAAACTTAGATGTGATACAAGACAATGTTGGACAAGATCTCCACAACATATCACTCTGCTTTCAGTTTATTTATTTCTAAATATTGGGACCCCTCAGAGTGTATTATCATGCTTCTACCATGACTAGAGGGTAGGGTTGCAGGAATATACCGGTGTCAAGGTATACTGTGATATATAATTTGAAAGTCATCATACTGTGTGCATTTGCTTATCTGTGATATTGGGAAAAAAATGCAACTGGATGTTTAATCTCTTCTTTATTTTAGTTATTTTCTAGGGTAGACTTTTTACATGTACTTCCATTAACAAAATGGTTTCAGGGTTCAGTTATAGTAATGAAACATTTGTTCAACCAACAATAACACGTCTGTTTTC